ACAGGCTACATTTTCTTCACTGTTTTTGTGATTTATTTTATAAGTATTTTCTGTGCTTTCCAGTTTATGGCACTGAGGTTCAAAAGTATTCTTTTGATAACTCTTGTAGCTGGTTTGTTTGTTATCATAAGACTTGCCTCATTCTGCTGTTACTTTAAAATATCTTCCAAATAGTGTCATTAATAAATTAATGACTGATGTCTGTGATGTCTGATGGGACAATATCAAGATTCTATTGAAAAGTTCTTATACTCAGGAAAGTTTCACAAGCTGTATGTTACATTACTTTTATGTTAAAAAAGATTAACATCAAATAGCTTGTGTGCAAATAATTTAATAGATGTCCCTGTATAAGATTTATGTAGTTATCTTTTAGAATATGATAACTTAAAACGAAGTGCTGAAGCCAGTTAGTTTGCCCCTGATACTTAAAAGCAGATGAATCCATTAAACACTTAAGTGCTTAGGAAAACAATTTGGAAAAAGGGCAGGAAACTGAGTGGAGAGCAAAAAGCAGGACAGACTGTTTCTCAGCGATTGATGTTTCAGGTCACCATATAGATGGAGACCTTAGAACAAACACCTTCTGTTCACTGGCTCTGAATAGTATGTGCTGAAATAAATCATTTAGCTTTTGATACTAAAAGAATTTCAATGTGTGGTCTTCTCTTTCAGCCAGTCTACATTAAGGTTAGTTTTATAAACATCTTAAGGTGCTGATTTTATTCATCTGTATGCAATTCCTATTTCTGTCCAAAAAACAGCACAACAGAGATTAAGAGTTGAAATAAATAGAAAATGAGACATAGTTTTGGCCAGTTTTCACATTACATTTGAAAAAGGGCTTTTGCATGTACAGTTGCATGAAGAAAGTGATGTAATTGCTTAAGTATTTGTGTAGTATGTATTTCTGACTAGTAAAGAATTTTTTTACACCAAATTTGCTCATAAATCTGTACTTCAAAGACAGCATGTTTTATAGTTGCTAACCTCTGAAAATCAAGATTTCTTGAGGAAAACAGTGAAAGTACAAATGCAATGCTGAATTAAAAGCTTTCAAATGCAGTTCACAAACTAAAAGTAGCAGTTTCAAACAGCAGTGGTTTTATATTGGTCTACTCTAGATAGGATAAATGGAATTAACCAAATATTGAAGTTCTACAAGGATTTACACAGTTGTTGCTGTCTTGTCATACTGCTGTGCATCAAAATAGAAATCAGCTCCATGTCTTGACCTCTTGCTTTGCCCTTCTCCACCTGATTTCTCTCCCCAGAATAGCAATAATAAGATTATTTAATCTCTCTGGGGAAAGTTGAAGACTCTGGGCCATATTATATTGCAGAGTGATGGAGAAGCAGCTATGTATGCTAACAGCTAAAACCTGACTGGGTTTTTCACTCTGGCCCTGAAGCCAGCTGGCACGGCATGAAAGTCTCTGACCTTCCAAACCAGTACAGACACATCCTGACTGCCCACTGGGTCCCAGGTCCATGCTGACATCTGAAATGCAGTTGGGAGCAGCCCAGAGGAGTGCTAGGTGACCTGGGTCAGTGCTGCTCTCTAATGGGGAGATGGTGGAGTCTTTTGGCACCACTTCCCTTAGGAGCAGCTTAGGGCATGATAACTGGAGGAGAGGAAAGCCAGGAGGGGGAACAAACGCTGCTGCTGCTGCCTAAAGTCAGTGCCTCCTCTGTCTCACCTTTTCAGATGCCAGTTGATATAGCTACAGAATGATTTATCTCCCCCACACAAAAAAACAGTTGAACTGATTTCTTTGAACACCTTGTAAAATAGTAAGGTAGTTGCTATCTTAGGTGCTGGTTATAGAGGGGAGATCTGGAGATGTTTGTTACCTTAGATCACCTTATACTCCAGACTGGTGCTTCAGTTTGTCCATGGTGAGGATCAGCAGGCTGAGAGTGAAGAAAAAAGGCTAGAATATCCTTCTATTGCAGAATTCATGAGGAACAGATAATTGGTAAGCATTTTAACAGGTACAAAAGTTTATTACTTGCTAATTTTATTGGCTGGAGCATGTAAAAAGCAAATCCAGAATGTCCAAGATTTTCAGACAAAAATGTAGCCAGTCCAGTAAAAAAAATCTCAGCTGATCCTGTTAGGTAAAAACTGTATGTAGGGGGTTCTACTTCAGTTGAATTTGTAGAGCTTCTCTTTGTATTGCTACACTTCCATAAGATACAGTTATATTCCTTCAACTGTAGGAAAACTTTGTTTGCATTCAGTTACATGCAAACCTTGTCCCTTGTGTTATTGGGGGAACATTTTAATTTTCTAAATCTTTTGCTGAGATTATTTTAGAGGAATTTTACGAACTTCTTCCAAGGTATCATGCATTTAGTTTAAAAAGTGCTACCAGAATTTCTGAAATTCATTTTTCTTTTATTAATTTATTATTCATTATAGTTTTCTATTGATTTATTTCATTTTTCATTCATACACTTTTCTAAGTGTATGAAATAAATATGAATGAGTACTTGGAGAGCTTGGTATGGCAGGGCCAGCAGAAACATGACATCAAGTGTATTATTAGCCACTTTTACACTCAACTGGTGTAAGTTGAGTTGCTGTGAAGACAGGCTGAGAGAGTTGGGGCTGCTCAGCCTGGAGAAGAGAAGGCTCCAGGGAAACGTGATAGCACCTTCCAGTGCCTGAAGGGGCTACAGGAAAGCTGGGGATGGGCTTTTGACAAGGGCTTGTAGTGAAAGGACAAGAGGTGTGATGGTTTTAAACTGAAAGAGGGGAGAATTAGGTTAGACATCAGGAAGAAATTCTTCCCCATGAGGGCAGCAAGGTGCTGGAATAGGTTGCCCATAGAGGTTGTTGATGCCCCCTCCCTGGAGGTGTTCAAGGGCAGGTTGGATGAGGTTTGTGCAGTTGGTCTAGTGGAAGGTGTCCCTGTTCATAGCAGGGAGGTTGAAACCTGATGATCTTTAAGGTCCCTTCCAACCTGAACCATTCTGTGATTCTAAGTTAGTTTCCTGGGTACAGATAAAAATGTAAAAAAAGCCAACCCAAAAGACAAAAAAAAGAACACTGTCTTCAGCTACTAAAGTTTGAATAGCATAAAGAGTTCATTGGAATAGAAAAAAAAATTATAATTTGGCACAAAAAGACAGTGAAAATACTAAAGTAGGTTTTGCCCAGTACTCCCCTCTGCTCCAAAGTTGATCTGGTCTTGCTTAAAGCCCCCCCAAAAGGCATTTTGATTCAGCTTGGAGAAGAGGAGGCTGAGGAGTGACCTCATTGCAGTCTATGGGTTCCTCACAAAGGGAGGAGATGGGGCAGGTACTGATCTCTTCCCTCCTGTGACTGACGACAGGACTTGGGAAATGGCAGGAAGCTGAATCAGGGGAGGTTTAGGTTGGATATCAGGAAAAGATTTTTCACCCAGAGGGTGGTTGAGCACTGGAACAAGCTCCCCAGGGCAGTGGTCACAGCACCAAGCCTGCCTGAGTTCAAGAAGCATTTGGATGATGCTCTCAGGCACATGGTGTGATTCTTAGGGTGCCCTACACAGGAACTGGAGTTGGACTCAATGATCCTGATGGGTCCCTTTCCAAATCAGCATATTCTAAGATTCTATGAGCTGTTTTTTTCCTGAACCATACTTGTGTGATTTTTGTACTGGTTTGAATGTAAGTGGTCTCAAAACAAGGCGATTTACAATTTTTCAGATTAAAAATCAAACTTTCACAGAAGTATGCAAAAGATGAGCTTGCATTCATCTTTGCATGACCCAGCGCCCCACAATGTTATGTACAGCTTTTTCACCCTGCATTTTTGTAGTGTGATGCTCTCTTCCTATGCAGTCATGTCATTAATTGTGTGAATGTGGAGGCACCAAGCAAGAGATCCCTCTGCAAGCAGGATCTGCTCTAATTGCTCCTCTTCTGCCTGCTGAGCACTGGGTCTGTCTGTGGGGCTGTTTGTGTCCTGCTCATCCCAATGGCTGGGGTTATGTTCCTGGCTGGCCACCCGGGTGGCACTGGCTGCTTTGAGCTGGTTTCCTCTGAAGGAGACAGGCTGTATTAATCTGTTGCACTTGGCTGGGAGCCACAACTGGGCCTTGTGTGCTGCTCCTCTGACCTCAGGGAATGAATTTTTCTATTTCTTTTTAAGTTTGGAGTGTTTGAAACAGCCTAAATGGGTGGTGTTTTTACAGCATGAAATCAAGGACGGTGTGTTGAGTGGTTCATTCACTGGGAGTGGAAAGCCTGTTGAGAAGTTCTTAAAGTACTAGGGTAGGACAGAGGGAGTCACACTCAGTGTAGTCTTACCTGTACTGGTGTTGGGAACAGTTCTTGGAGTTCAGTGTTCCCAATGCTGTGCTGGGGCTTTTCCTTCAGAAAAGCTCCTTGCAGCAGTGTAGGTGGCCACCCTCTGTAGCAGGTTAGGTGTACAGAGGAAGTATAAATGACTGGGAGGAACTGGTATGCCACTATAGGCATACCTACATGGCAGACTGTTGAGCCTCGTCACATTCCTGCAAAGCTGGTCTTGGGGCTTCCCTTAAAGTGGGTTGTGGAGCTTCCATGCTGTCGGATCCTAAGTCTGCTGCTGTCTGCTCAATGGGGAAATACAGCACTGCACCAAAAAAGTTTCTCAGGATTTGAAGGGACCATGTAGGGAGTGTGCAGTGACATGCAGTGACATTTTTTTTTCATCCTAAGATTTGAAGGCAATATATTATTTAGAAATGATGAGCCTGCACAATGCATAAAATGAATGCAGACACCTGTGCAGTTCTCCAGTGCAGTTGTTAACTGTGTGTTTTACCATTCGGTGACTTTCCTTTGTCTCACTTAACAGCATTGCATGACACTTGCCTAGAAAAATACCCACCTTTTCCCTGAGAAATAAGCAAGGATATAATTTAAGTAATGTCTTTTATACTTTGACTTACTGTATACTGCATTTATTGTTACATTACTACTTGTCTTCAAAACTTGTCCTGTCTCTCCTTGAATGTAATTTTGTAGTTAATTTCTTTGGAAAAATACAGAAAAAGCATACTAATCTTCTCAAATCTTACTGTAGTATTTTCAGATATTACTCTAAAGGATGAACTGTTTCCTCCAGCTTAAAATATTAAGCCAGCATTGCTTCTGGTTGCTTAGCAAGGCTTAACTGTATCTGCAGTTATTTAAATTTCAGTTATGTGATATATCATGGGCATCTATTTAAACATACAACTATTATTTTTAGTTGAAATATAGACTATATAAAGACTTAAAAGATGTGGGATCAAGGTGGACAACCTTGGCAGCAATGGCCTTTGAACCAACAGCAGTGGATGCAGTCATTTCAGCACCAGCAAGACCCAAGTAAGTATGGAGAAAGCTTTGTGGATTCATTTTTTTTTTTTTTTCTATCTATTTTCATTTGAATTTTTGAACCTTTGTTACAGAGCATAACTGGTAGTTGCTTTTTTGTAACACTCTCAAGGTAATACATGTATTATTCTTTTCTGAACAAGTAGAAGAATTAGAAGAGACATATTGATTCCAAATGCCTTGACATAGTTAGTATGCAAAATACAGGCAAGCAACCTGAATTATCCTGGCCAAATTATCAACATACTACCAGTCACAGAGATCAACATTTAGACCTCATGTGCTTTTTACAGAATCTGTATCCATGTCAAATTTTTAGCCAAGATGAATAATTTATTTGAGAAAATCTGCTTTATGTTCAGTGCCTGTGTGGCAGAAGTACTAATGCAGGTGATGATACAGCAGTGATGGTAATTCTCTGCTATATGGAATTTTTCCCAACCAAAAAATGAATAATTACATAATGTATCTTAAATTGAGAGTGAGCTGGCAGCAATTCAAAGTATCAAGAGAAATACAGCAATGGATAAAGAGAGAGGAGGAGTGTATATAATACCTGAGCAGAGTGATCAGGCACACTGGTTTCACATGGCTTTCTGTCACTTCAATTTCTGTAACTTCACTGGAGAGATTTCCTAACTTCATCATGAGCAGAAGATGTACCAGTGTCCTCATCTGAGAGTGCAGTTTGTTTACCTGCTGATATAGGAAAGGTAGTGAAGAAATAAAGGGGGAGAGAATTGTAACATGAAATAGCATTCCAGAAATCAGGGGTCATACAAAGCGTATACCTTGCAGAATGTACATTTATAACTCTGTATCTTTCTTAGACTTGGCTGTTCATACATTTAGAATGTAATGCTATGTAGATTTCTTTCTGATACCAGAATCAATTTACTTACAAAAAACATTGTAGTACCACCACCTGTTCAGGGCTAAGGTGAACTTAAAATAATCTACCTTGTGATATTTTGAACTTATGCAGAGCAACTCTCCTTCAGCAAGTGTGTACACTTTGATGCTTCCTTTTAGTTTGCTTAATTGTACACTGTGAATAAGTTATAATGGTTCCCAGGGTACTTGCTGAAGGTAAACATTGCCTGTTTCTCTTGAGCAGTAAGACATGTAATTGAGAAACAGTGTTAAACTTCAGACATGGGAATACTAACCTTTTGAAATTTCTTCTGTTTATCTTAGGCCAGATTGATTGGGCTGCATTAGCTCAAGCATGGATAGCTCAGCGAGAAGCCTCGGGGCAACAGAGTGTAGTGGAACAACAAGGAATGATGCCAAACGGACAGGATATTTCAGGAATAGAGTCTGGTCCAAACAACCATAATAATTTTCAGGGGGATCCCAACTTCAACAGAATGTGGCAGCCAGGTTTGTTTTCCTTCCCATTAGTTCCTTTTTTTTTTTTTCATCTAATGAAATTACATTTTTTGTCAGACATTTTTGGGTGTGAACATGCCCTGTCCTTCTGCTTCCAAGATGCAAAACTACCAGTAGTATCAATTGAATGTCACAGCTGCCACTTTCCAGTCAAGTGTTCCACAAAATGGGTAACAGTGAAGACACACAGGTCTGACAACACAACTTGGTAATCTATCTATATAGTAAATAAATTGGTTTTATCATATACATATGCAAAAATTTTCTTCTATTCCTGAATATTGTAGAAAGTTGAAGTATGAATTGCAGTTATAATTATTTCCTCAAATCTTATTCTTCCATCTTATGTGTTTTGTTGCTGATACCACTGCACTAGGAGCAGCAGCAGCACTGAAGGCAACAGAATGCCTTCAGTATCTGGTGCCCTCTTCTGTAGTGTAATACCTGCTTCTGGCATGATCTTGACATGTAGAGTGAATTCAAAATATAACTAGCAGATGCTGGCTTCAGGTGTCTTAAAATCTTGAAAAAGGAAATGAGGAAAATTGTATGTAAAATATATTTTTATTACATGTTTCATATGTTTAATATTTCCCCTTTTAAACTTACATATCTGATTGTTATATGTGTAATTTTTTCAGTTACTGTAAGTTAAAGTTGGTTGCATGCTTCTGTTAGCATCAGTTCTTTATAATTTCCTCAAAATTTTTGTTTTGGCCCAAAATTCATTTTCGTTTTACAACTGCATCAAATAACACTGGCAAGAAACATGGATTAGAGATGGGATATTTTCTGCTAACCATTTTGCTGAAGTTTTATTCTGAAAGTAATCTGAAAAGTTTGTCATTGCACTGTAATGCAGTTTGAAGTGTGTGAGCAAGGTAGTGTGCATACCTTCTGTTGTCTCTGAAAACTACATTTCATGCTTGATTCTGTTAATGACTGAAAGAATAATACCTCCAGTTTTTAGTGTGACTATTCAGGTTTGTCCAAGTGCAATCCTTAATAGGCTTAAAATGTAATTAGTGGTTGTTACACCTGCATAACAAAAGGGAGGCAGGCATCAGGTTTCACTTCAGTTTAACCTACCTGCCCTGGCCTATGGGTTGTTGTAGCCACATCTAAGAATTTTAGCTTTACTACATGGCAGTACATAGAGTGTATTCTAGCCATATTTCTGTATAGTAAGTAGAAGTTTTTAAAGAAATGCTGTATCATTTTTGGACAGCTTTGTTTTTCATATGGTGCTCTGGTTGTGAGATCTTCCTTGTCATCTGTAAGGTGAAAGAAAGTGATACCTTCAGTGTAGTTTTTGCAGATAGTCACAGCATGGTAAAAGTGTGGAAGACATTTTGACATTTTGCTGATAATTACAAATGTCAGGTGCCCAGGCTCACCCACAAAATGCAGGACAGGAAACATCATGGATCTAGGAGTGGGAATAATGTGACACCTTTTGTTCACAGGAAACAATGTGCCAGTGTGTTTTGTTATCATTTGGTATATGGTTCAGAGAATATGTTGTTTTCCCATTTTTGGGGGGGACACTGATAAAGGCCATGGTGATGCAGATATGACCCAGCTTCCCTGAATTTAGGCAGTGTCACTCTTAATGTGTAAAAGTAATCATAGCAGACAGACTAAATCATAGCATGCATGGTTAGCTAAAGTCCTCTTTGTGTGCTTACTTTGTTTCTACATAAAGCTTCATCTTTCTCCCTGTCCTTCTAAGTTGGTTTGTTGGGGATTTTTTTGATCCAAAAGTGCACTACTAATAAAGAAAGCAAAATGGCAATCTGGAAACCAACTGTTTCAATGAATTTTGAAGGCATTCATGTTCCATAAGGATAAACAGGATCTGTTGCATGCATCTTGTTAGCTTTCAAGTCAGTAAACTGGGCATTGAAATAATATCAAATGTTAACACATTTATGAACAGTAACTCATGTAAGAGGTACTTAGAGGATAAAGGATTCAGCCCCTTAGAATACTTCAGGAGTATTGACTTTGGAGAAAAAAATTGATAAATCTGCTAAACATGACCAACCAGGATGACAGTGAGAGTGAAAGGAGTGATACAGTCTTAGAAGAGACAAAAAAAAGAACAACCAAGCAGAAAAGCTGTTTTAATCCTTGCTAGTTGCTACAGAAATGGATCCAATTATAATGCAGTTGGCAAGGACAGTAAAAAATAGAATGACAGAAGGTATTCTTCAAGGACTGGATGGAAGGTAGGAGTTCACCTGAGAGGCCAGGTATTAATTCTGTTACTGGTGAAAATTACTAGGTACCTCTGTCATGTTCTAAATATCTGTGCAGTGGACATAATTTTTAGACTGATTTCCTAAGAAGAAAAAGCTTATGGCTGCAGGAGATACTAATTCATTCCTTAAACCCTTTGCAGTCTTGTTATCTAATTGTAACTTAGGTTTGAGGGCTTCTGACTGTAGCTTCTGCTGGGACCTCTGCTAGATATTGATGAATCCAGGGAATCATCCATTATCAAGACAGAAGACATTGGAAAGCAGGTTTCAGTGGTTCTGCTGCTCACAAAACCATTTGCTTTCCATAATAGGTCTTTCAGTCTATTGTCCAAAGGAATTAAATAGCTTTGAAAGTTGCAACAACATAGAAATAGAGAAGCAGGAACAGTTCTTTAACAGCTTACACAATTTGTGCTGTGTAAAGTGCTGTGGTGGACTCAATGTCATTGGGAATTTATAAAAACAAATCTAGTGTGTCTGTCCTGTTCTGCCTCCCCTGATGTTTTAGTTCAGCTACAGCTTTTTATCTTTCCTTCATTTAGTTGAAGACATAATTAAAACAGTGTATTACTGCCTGTAGATTGATGATTCGTCATAACTTTATCATCTGTGAGAAACCTTGTGATAAACAGAAGAATGTTGAGTGATTGCTGATTTGTACTAACTTTCTATTGAATTGTATTCTAAATCCTGAACAGAATGGGGAATGCCTCACCAGCCCCCCCACCCCCCTCCAGATCAGCAGTGGATGGCTCCAACCCCAGGTCAAATGGAAATTGTTCCTCCATCTGAAGACAGCAACAGTCAGGACAGTGGGGAATTTGCTCCTGACAACAGGCATATATTTAACCAGAACAATCACAACTTTGGGGCACCTCCTGATAACTTTGCAATGGGGCCAGTGAACCAGTTTGACTATCAGGTGAAACATATTTGTTGCTTTCATATTGTAGACGTGCAGAGTCCCTCCCATGGATGTGTTCCTCTAATGTCATCTAGCGGCGACTTTCATTCTTCAGTTCTACAAACATCTACAGAGTCTGTTATCTGCTAAGATACATTTTTTACCAAATACTTTACAGAAGAGACTTTAGAGTTTTCAGTTCTGTTCTGAGGCCAAAGGGTGTTTGTTTGTTGTTTTTTTTTCTATACTAGTAATGAGAAATGGCTGTTACCTGCAATATTAAATCCCTGTGTTCCAGTATATAAATTAACATTATGTAGTTTTGTGGTTAAAAAAAAAAAGGGGGAAGAGGAGGAAAAAAAAAATAAAGTTCATAAATATATACTGAAATACACTACATAATGTACCATAGGGAACAGACCTGTGTTTGCAGGGAGATAGACTGGATGATCCATTGATCTTTTCCATATCTATCTACTGTCATTCTTTGAATAAACAATGGTATTTCTAAAAAAATCCACATCCAATTTTTTGCTTTTTTCTATTATTAAATTCACTTGTTCAGCAGTATTGTTAGGGAGTGAGCCAATAATTTTAAAATACAGTTTTTTAGAATTTCCTTTGTTTGCTATTACAGAACCAACTCTTAAAATTAATTTCTCTAAATACTTCAGAAAATTTCTTTAGTGGTGAATAAGAGAGGGATGCTTGACTTGAAACTGTAGTGGAAGGGTGCTCCTAGCACTAGTGACTTGATAGTCAATAGAGTATTAACAAAAAATAAAAATTATGTAACTTTCTTCCTAAACATTCTCCTCTTAAATAGTTTCATTAGACATTTCTGGGCAGCAAATATTAAAACAAAAACCCCCTCATGTATTCCTCATGTGACTTTTGGATTGTATACAGCTTGCTGAGCACCCAGGGTCTGTACTAAACTTGCATATTTGTGCATTTAGTATTTTTATCAGACATGCTAATAATGTCACTTAGTTATTACTGGAAAGTGCACAGTGCAAAATTCTTTTGTAATAAAAATGGGAACTTTTGGTTTTGTCCTCATCTTGTAGTTACAAGTAAAGACTGCCAACATAGCTGGGCTTTTAAACCTTAATTATGTGTGCTCTTTAATTAGCTGCATGCTCTGATGATAAGCAGGCAAGGAACTGCTGGAGATAGATGGTGATGATAGGGCTTACTGTTTAGCACAGTGTGAAAGGAGATTAGTTGAAGCCCTTTCAACTTCTTTAGTAGCTCTGCTTAAATTAAGTTTATCCATTAAGTAATTAAGAAAAACTTTTTTCTTGGGGACCAGAGAAAAAGAGGTTGAGTTATCTTGGTAGCCTAGAAATCATGGATGCCTCCTTGCATGGATTTCTGTAGACCGACTTGCACACATGCTGTATGTAGTGTTACCACGTGAAGAAAAATAAACTGCATTACTCTTTCAGCATGGGGCTGCCTTTGGTCCACCTCAAGGTGGATTTCATCCACCTTATTGGCAGCCAGGACCACCAGGACCACCAGGTCCACCAGCACCTCCTGCACCTCCTCAAAATCGAAGGGAAAGACCCTCATTCAGAGATCGACAGCGTTCACCTATTGCGATGCCTGTGAAGCAGGAGCCTCCTCAGATTGGTACATGTTAACCACTCCTTAATAAAAAAAAACAAACAACCCCAAACAGAAAAGCTGTGTTTTAAAAAGAATTTAAAAAATTTGAAGCCTTTTTTTTTTTTTTATGTGAAGTAAAAAAGAAGGGAAATAAAACCACACAGTCAGATGTGTGGCTGGTTTGGGTGGGGTGGGGGATTTTCTTCTTTGTTCTTGTTTTCTCTTTGGGGGTTGAAAGATTTGGTGGTGGTACAAACCTGTAAACTTTGCTTCTGTAGATGCTGTGAAGCGTAGAACACTGCCTGCCTGGATTCGGGAGGGCCTTGAAAAGATGGAGAGGGAAAAACAGAAAAAGCTGGAGAAAGAGAGGATGGAGCAGCAACGTTCACAGATGTCTAAGAAAGAAAAAAAGGAAAATGAGGAGGCTGAAGAAGGGGATGGCCCACGGTTGCCTCAGAAGAGTAAATTTGTAAGTGAAAGGGTTTACTTTTTGCTCAGGTTTGTATTTCCTGAAAGGTCTCAACGCTTTGGTATCTTCCAAACACTGTGTATGCCTGGTTATCTCTTTGCTTGTGTTGCTTAAAGTTAAGCAGCTGCTTTGTTGATACTTGGTGTTTTGAAGTTGTTAGTGTTGAAAAGGTAAAAGATTGACTTGATCTGTAGTAGCAAAGAAACAACAATGGAATTGGGCTTTTTTTTCTTTTCTGTATTTTGGGGATATACATGGTCTTTAAAGGTTTGAATTCTAAATCAGTAGCTTGACAAGCTGAGATACACTGAAGCTATTTAGCAAGCCTTGTGTTGCTTTCACTTTAGCAGTTACCTCACTTGTTTGCAGTTCTGAGTGCCTGGCTTCAGTGAACTGACAAGTATGTTTGCTTGTCTCATGTGGTGCATGTGTGCAGAGGTACCTGCATGTTTGTCAGGAGGGGAGAAAAGAAAGAGTTTTATGATAGCAGTAATAGAGATTTCAGTAAAAAGTTAATAAAGCTGACTGTCATAAATAGAAAGTAATGAGTTTAACATCTGAGTTGTTTTCTGAAATGTGTGGTGCTGTTCTTGTAGGACAGTGACGAGGAAGACGAAGATGCTGAAAACACAGAAGCTGTAAGCGTTGGGAAAATGAGCAGGAGTCCATCCCCAGCTCCTCACGAGGAGCAAAGTGAACCAGAAATGACAGAAGAAGAAAAGGAGTATCAAATGGTATTAATAATACAGTTCTCACTAAGTATTTCTGTCTGTTTCCTCATATTTTTGGAATATAGCAAAGTAAAATACTTTTTCTCTGCCTGAGGCTGTCGATAGAGGGATATCAGACATCATACACTAAAGCAGGGTTCTACCTGCATGCTCTTTGTCATTTTGTGTATGAGAAACATATACACATGTATATAGGTTACATAACTCAAATTTTGCACAATAGTGAAGGCATGTAATGGCTGCAATCTTTGCATTGATTGTTATTAATTCTCTGGGTTTGCTTTTAACTTGTCGAGTTCTTGGAAACTTGTAATGATTATATGCACCCATCTGAAATTTAAGCTTCAACCTCAGTCCCCTGTGAAAGGGAATTTAAATGCATTCTTGCCATAAAGTGCTAGAAACCTAGGTCCCAGATCAGCAAAAATTTCACTTTTGTCTGCAGAAACATGGTACTTTGAAATTGTAGTTGTATCCTCTTTTACAGCTGAAACCTTGTTAAAGAAGGCCCTGAATTCTAAAAAGTTTGATGAATTTGTTTTTGTAAAGCACATGGCTACACTGAACAGCTTGGAGAACTAGCTACCAACATGTCAGGCTTTGTAGTAAATATTTAATAATCAATTCCTATAGAAGTAACCTCTGATGTTTTTGCCAGGACTGGCGTATTGAGGCAGTATGCCAGACAGAAATGTACTCTTTATTCTCTGAAAGAAAAAATGGGATCAGTCTGAAGTACATTCCTGATGTACATACTAATTATTTAAATAATAATTTAATAATAATTTATAATTATATAATTATATAATTATAAATTATATAATTATATAATTATAATTTAAATAATAATCAAATTTAAACAATTTCAAATGTGATTTTTAATTTAAGTCATGCCTGTTGAAAGACACAATTAAAGTAAGGGAAGGTACTTTTGTACCCATCAAAACAAGTGAAGCTCTATGGATATAATTTGAATGCAGCACTTAACTCAAGAGATTTTGGCCTTCAGTTGCATATACACTTTTCTTCAGATGATGCTGACAAAAATGCTGCTGACAGAGATTCTTTTAGATGTCACAAATGAAGAAATTTATTATGTGGCCAAAGATGTTCACCGTAAAGCAACAAAAGGTATGCCAGTTCTTTTGTTTTGGTTTTAGTTTCCTCTGTGAATATTCTATATTTGCATGTCTCTAGAACATTTAACCTCCATAGTTATCCCCCAAAAACAATTCCAGTATAATGCATCCAACTTGGTAGAGTTCAAATCCAGTAATCATGTACTGTTGTCCTGTGCAGTGTATTGTGAGTTACTTCAGTTATTCCATTTCTTTCATACAATTCATTTATTTAGTTAAAATGGTATCTGTTTTTTAAAAGGCTCTTGAGCTGTAGCTGTTTCTTAATGCTATCATCTTAATCTCAAGTTCTTAGCTGCCCAGAAGTGAAAAGAGATGAACTTTGAGTCCTCAATTAGTATTTCATTTGCTTTCACTATTAACATGTATTGTACTTACATAAGAGATCTTTTTAATGTAACTGAGTTAATCTAAACGTGTAACTACTGAAACTTGAAAATCATGTGCAGATGCTGTAACTTGGAAAGTGATTTTTGAGTATAATTTGTTCTTTTCTGTTCACTATTAATTTGCAGTTAAAGTCTGTATCTTCGTGGTCAGAAAATCTAGAATTGGTTTGAAATGGATGATGCGTTTTTTAATGTTTCTTCTCTCCCTCCAAAGAGCAGCAATAGTAGTAGATTTAACAATACCATAGACTCATGACTATGAAATCGTGGCTATTTGTGTTAACATGTTGTTCCTGTTGTTGATGTGATACAAAGCTCCTGCAAAACAGCTGGCACAGTCCAGTGCACTGGCTTCCCTCACTGGACTCGGTAAGTATGTTCCTTATTTTTGAGAGGGCTTAAAGGGGGAGTTTCACTCTTGCCTTGCATTTCTAGAAATTGCATTTTGAAACCAGATTTTAAATGCCCAGGAGTGTGGGTCACTTTCCAATAACTTTATCATTATCAGCACCTTTGTTTGTTCCACAGGTAATCCTACTGGTGTAAGTGGGATGGTTTTTGGAGTAAAGGACTAGTCAGTGTGAGTTAGTGTATGTGAATCTAATTTTGAAAATCCATAAAAGCTTTAGATAAATACACTTTTCAAAGGATGATTGTTTCAGAAGCACACGCAGTCTTCAGAGAAAGAAATACTGGTTTATATTTTTCTCCTGTTTTGATCCATCCAAACAAGAAGGGAAAGTCGATAGAAGAGTAGTGTGAAAATCTTTGTAAAAATATAATCTTTATAACTATGATTTTACTGAAAAGCTGCATAAGCACAGAGGCTCCCATATCATTATTAACAGAAACAACACAGGAAAAAGAGATTGAAATTCCAGCTTTGAGACACAACAGCAAAAGACCTTTCCCAGCCTGCTTTTTATCATCCAAACCATACTTCAACAGTGTCAGTCACCAGTTATGTGCTTGTTACGTGGAATTCCGATTAATTAGATTGAATGTTTTCATCACGAGTGTTTTAAAACTAACTCAATAAAGAACCTCAGACTGAAAGAAAATAAAATATCTCCATGTCAGATGTTTAAATTGACTTTATCTTTTCTTACCAGTCCAGTAGTTAATAATATCTCTAGGGGAGAAGAAAGTAAATTCCTGTTCCGTTTCTGTACCGGCCAAAGTGCAGTGTTCTCTAAATCACTGTCTAGAAATTGACATGAAATTCAGAATTTCTGTAGCCTTGGACTACGGAGGCGGCTGAAGTCATTTCAGAGATGTCTTCTGGGAAAGGTCCCAGGCATTTTCTCCCTGGTTGCCATACAGGGGCAGGCACTGTCACGATCTCTGCAGGGAGCTTTTTTGCCCTTCCATACAATGGAAGAAGTACCGTGATTGCTGCGGTTGCTTGCCGAAAATAAACGAGCTGTTCCAGAAGGAGTAGAACCCAGACAGTGAGCATCAATGCTTATATGGGGGCCTTGTTCACACCAGCCAAACAACATTGGCACTTACCAGAATAAAGTGACTTCTTCAGAGAAGAGGAAGTGAAGGAAGGGCAATGTTACTCTCCTCTTTGCCCCGCAGAAATATTAAGAACAAAACTTAACCTTTCCTCGTGATAGACTGGACTTTATGCACGCAGGTGGACTGGGTGGTTATGGATCAGGAGACAGTGAAGATGAGAGGAGTGACAGAGGCTCTGAATCATCTGATACTGATGATGAGGAATTACGACACAGAATCAGGCAAAAACAGGAAGCATTTTGGAGAAAAGAGAGAGAACAGCAACTACTACTAGAAAAACAGCTAGAAGGTAAACCATGTTATCTCCTTCCTGTGCTGCTGTATATGGAGTTTACTACTTAGTATATGTAAATTGGTGAGAGAGAAAACACAATTTAAGCCAAACTTAAACATTTTAACAAAAATTATGTTTGATGAAAATGGGGTTTACTTTTAATAGAAAAAAAAAACACTCAACCATGTAGTGCTTTTCATAAACTATTGTATTTTAGTATTAAAAGAGCAGACATCGTGCATATGCATCTACATACTGTAGCTATTGTGCTATGTAAATAGGAGTATCTCTTTATAAAAATTCATCTGTGTGTATAATACATATTTTTTAAAATCTCATTTGTGATTGGGGGATGGATACTTTTTACCTTTCTGCACCAGGCTGCAGTCTAGATGAACCTGATTCCTCAAAGTTGTGTACTTGAAGCATATGAAGCATGTTTCACATAATCTGAAAGACTTGCTTTTCTGTTACATCATGTTGAGCAATGAACCTTTCAGAATGTACAGTGGGAGTCTGCAGCTTCTTTGAACTTACTGATCTCAGCTGTAGTTGAGGTTTGTGTCCATATGCTGCAGCTTTGTAACTGTGTCCTCATACCCAATACTGGGGAGAGAGGATTGAAGCCAGTCAGTTGACACTTAGCCTCTGAGAAACTGGCAGGCCTGGTTTAAAAAAAATAATAAATTAACCTATTAGTTACTTCTGCTTCTTCATACAAGGTGAGGTTTATCTGTTTGTACCAATAATGTAGGTCAAAATGGTATCAGAGTCACCTTACACTGCTGAAGAGCAGTCTGGATCAACAGATGAACACAATGGTAACAGGTTGTTATCTAAGTACATAAGCTGGAAGAGAAAGAAAGTTCTGTTATGACATCATACTTTCATCTTATTTTAAGATGGATGATTTCCTCCTTTTTATTTTAAAAGCCTAGAAATGCAACATATGGATCCCTTAAGAAAAGGCCCGACTAGTGAAATGTTTCGTTCCCTTAACATTCCTGTCTCCCTCTGAGTGTTTTAAGACTTCTACATAAAAGAACACCTGTATGAAGAGTTTCTGAGTGGTAGCCTAGGAGCTCTGTCTTCCTAGTGTAGGAGACCAGATGCCAGTTTGGGGATGTCCCCATGGGGCTGTTGGCAGAAATTGAGAGTATACAAGCTGATCTTAGACATCCAAAGAATCTGAAGATTCTGTACATCTGAAGAATACTAAATGCAGGGACTGATTTATAACAGTGTTTAGGAAAGGCAGAAGATTTCAAATACACAGGTCAGCATATTCCAACATGCACTGACTTCTGCTTGTATTACCTAATAATCTGGGCACAAGTTGGAATTGTTTTCTGAATTAGATTTAACCATCTGTTGCCATTTGGATCACCCTGGGTTTCTGGGTGCAGTGTTTATTCCCTTAGTTAATTCAAGACCTGAGAGGCCACATCAAAAGGCCACTTTTTGGCTAAAAATTTTGTGTGTTTTTTTTCTGGGTTCAATTTAAAATGGGAAGGAGACATACACTTGGCCAATGATGCAAAGGATCCTAGGTTGAATAGAAACAAGTGAAGCTCTTTTTAATGTTGAAAATCTCTGGAGAATGTTCCAAAGGTCTGAATGTCTATTTTGCTATATGAAAATTTTAGCCTGATATTCATTAATTTACTTTCAATGAGTGTATTTTTAATTCTTCTGTTGTTTTCTTCCCATGTTTGTAGTATTTGCTGACTACCCAGCTTAGATACAATCTCAACTGACATTAACTTTTTGTTTTGTAAGAGCTTCACCACCTATCTCTATTAAATGGCGTGGTCTTCACTTTTGAGCTGAGCAAAGAATTATCTACAAGTCTCTTTTTAATCCTCTTTCTCCCGTTGTTGGTATTCCTTTGCTATGAGAGCTGTTAAAAACTTGGGGGACAAATGTCAATTGCTTGTCCTCATTATCTTTTAGGACTCAATTAAGTTATCCTTGGAAAATGCCATAAACTGGTATTTTCTTTAAAAAACCAAATGTGCATCACTACAGCAGAAGGCACTTGTGTAAGACTTTTGGGTCATGAGGCCTGCAAAACATACAGGGTCAGCCAACATTGTTCTGAGGTTTAGAGGCCACCCCATGCACTGTGTGGGAAATGCAGATTCTTCAGACCAGCCAGTGATCACTCAAACCTGGATTAACAGGGCTGGAAAGGAGGCAGGAACCTTAGGCACAGCTGCAGGTGTAGGAAGGAGAAGGGGAAAATGAGGTTTGTAGCAAGGTTGCAGGAGGAAAAAGTGTGTGAGTGTGTCCGTGTGTGTGTGTAGATGAATGTGGAAGTTCTGGTGCTTGAGGATATTCATTTGAGAACTTTATCTCAAACCACTGAAACATTAAAAGAGATCAGGGACTGGGTTGTGCACTGTTTCTAAACCAAAAGGACAGCTTTTCTAGAATTATAGAATGTAACTAGTTTGGTAGGTAATTGGCATGATGGCAGACAGTGCATTAATTCTTAAGTATTATGAAAGGTGCTTGGAAATTTGGGTTTGCCAAAAGTAACTGTATGGCATTTATTGACCTATTGCACATTGCATTAATTGCCATTTTCTTTTGTACACTTACTTTTCCAGAAGAAAAGCTACAACACGAGAAAGTTTCAAAAGAGATGAATGAATTTATCAACAAAGAACAAAACAGTAACTCAGCATCACAGGAGGCAAAAGAAATTGAAGCAGATACAGTTCACGAAAAGAAAAGATCTCCAAATGCAGTCGCACCTGATCTAGAACTTAAAAAAGAGGGTAAAGAGAGGGCAGGAAGGAGTGGGTCAAGAAGCTCTAGCAGTGGTAGCACGAGCAGCAACAGCAGAAGCAGTAGCAGTAGCAGCACTGTATCTAGTTCATCCTACAGCACCAGCTCAGGTAGCAGTCGCAGCTCTTCGCCTTCTTCCTCTCCTAAAAGGAAGAAGAGACAAAGCCGCAGTAGGACACCTTCCCATAAGGTGAGGCGCAGTCGAAGCAGGAGTTACACCCACAGGAACAGGAGGGAGAGGAGTAGGAGCAGGGAGAAACTAAGGGAAAGGAGAAGACCTAGTAGAAATCGCAGTGCTGAAAGAGGGGAGAGGCGAAGAAACCGGAGTCCTTCCCGAGAGAGGAGCTGGGACAGGCGCAGAAGTAGCAGCCGCTCGCGGGACA